TTAGGTGCCTTGGCTGATATTCGGGTTGGCTTATACTCGGGTATATATGGTAACGAATAAGTGGGGAGGGGTAGTGGGCTTAGTGGGCTTGAGGTAGGCAGAAGTTGAGATGTAGAAGCCTGAGGTTGACAGCTTATTCTAGGAAGTCAACAAATACTGTGTAACTGCAGCAGTGAGAATAACAGGGAGAACAAAATGAAAACAAGACGATTAAAAAACAAACAAAAAACAACCCCAAAGCATACTGATTTTTTAAAAATTTACTGTAAATCTCCTGATACTCTGGACTTTTCTGTTTCTGAATTACTGCCCTCACGTATACATTAGCATGTACATTTTTCCCCCTTAATGTTGGAAGTAGGGCAATAGGAGAGATCAGTTAGGAGTGTAAAACATTAAGTACGTTTGAAATGATACTTTGTATTATAGACGTAGTGCTGGCAGTTAAAATAACACACAGGTAAATCTGACAGGGCTTCACAATAGACTGAATGTAGAGGAGGGCCTCAAGTGAAGGGGTCTACAATAAAGAATTAATCCTTAAACTCACACACTGAATAATGAGGGTTGAAGCAGGTAAGAACTGAAGGATTATAGGGCTACTCCTCCCCCCACCCCCCATCCCCGGCTTCCCTCTTCAAGGGTAAGCAGGACTTCAGAAAAAAAAAAAATCAAAAATTTTATTTTGGCTATGTTGGATTTAAAGTGCCTTGAGACATGTGTGGAGTTGTAGAGTAGGCATCTAGATTTAGGGCTCTGGAACTCAGTGTTAGAAAGTAAGAGCACATAGTTGGTGACTGAAGCCGTAAGCATAAATGAGATTGTCCCAGGGAGAAAGAATCTAAGGAACTGAGAAATAAGTCCTAACTGGCAATGAACTGGTTACAACTCATTGTGACCCCATAGGACAGAGTAGAACTGCTCCCTAGGATTTCTCAGGTTATCAATCTTCTACAGAAGCAGACTGCCTACTCTTTCCACCTCAGATTGGCTGGTGGGTCTGAACTCTCAACTTCTCAGCAACCCAATGTGAAACCCACTATGCTACTGGGGCTCATGAGCAGCCTTAAAAGAATACCTATAATTAATGTTCAGATAAATCAAGATGAGAGAGGCAGAATGAAATCAAGAAGTGCTATGTTGTAGATGCCAAAAAGAGAGTGTTTCAAGCAAAGTGGTTAATAATGTGAAAAATATCAAGATAACGGTTGAAAATGCCCGTTTAATTAATAGTATTAATTAATAAAAGCATGAGTTGTATTAGGTAAATCTTCTGCCCAGGACCTCTTTAGAGTATTGAAAAGCATGGATATTACTTTGAGGATTAAGGTGCACCTGACCTAAGTCATTATCTCTTCAACTGCCTCAACATCATATGAAAGTTGGACATTGAATAAAGACGAAAGAATGAATGCATTTGAATTGTGGCACTAGAGAAGAATCTTGAAAGTATAATGCACTGAAAAAAGGACACGCTGATCCGTCTTGGAAAATGTATAGCCAGAGTGCTCCTTAGAAGCAAGGATGGCAAGCCTTGGTCTTATATACTTCGGACATGTTATTAGGAGACACTAGCACCTGAAGAAGTACTTCAAGGTTGTCAAGTAGAGGGCAGGGAAAATGAGGAAGGCCCTCAAGAGATGGACTGACCCCACGGCAACACTGGGCTCAAGCATAGGAACAACTGTGAGGACGGCACAGGACGGGGCAATGTTTTGTTCTGGGGTGCACAGGATCACTATGGGTTGGTACCGACTCGATGGCCCCTAACAACAACATTGAAAGCATCGACGAATTTGTGAAACTATTTGATTAGGTATCAGGTATCAGCAGATACCAGTATGTTAAGAGTGACTAGACTATTATTCGTCATTTAGGAAATGAAAATCAAAACCACAATTAGATACCATTCACCCTTCCAGGATGGTCATTATAAAAAAGACAGAAAACAACATGTCCTAGAGAGGATGGGGAGGCATTCCAACTCTTTCCATTAATTTTTTCCAGGTAAAATGGTACACATGCAAGGGCAGATGCTGTGGGAAACAATTTAAACATAAAATAAGTTCAATTCTCTTCTTGGAAATATACCTCCATAAATTCAAAGCAGGGGATAAAGAAGATACCTCGATTAGTATAGTATAGAAGTATGTGAATACTAACTTCAGTATATTTTATAATAACCAAGAACTGTAGACAACTCAAATACTCATCAAGGAATGAGTAAACAAAATGTCCTACCCGTATCACGGAATATTATTCATCAACATGAGAAATAAAGTCATGATACATGTGACTATGTTTTGTGTGTATTTTTATAAAATGAAGTCAAAGTACTCCCTTTAATACAGCAAAAACATTTTTAATATCAATAAATGATTCACCATGCTTTTAATAACTTTATTAAGTAAATGAATGCTGATACATTCTTTCTATCTGCTCTCTTAATTTTCAACTCTATATTGTTAGATACATTTTAACTGTACATTACTATTATTTTTTATTAAAAGATCATTTCATTGGGGGCTCTTACAACAATCCATTTATCAATTGTATCAAGCATATTTGTACATATGTTGCCATCATTCTTTTTTCTTTTTTTAATCACTTTATTGGGGAGCTCATATAACTCCTATCACAATCCATACGTACATCCATTGTGTCAAGTACATTTGTAGCCATCATCATTCTCAAAACATTTTCTTTCTACCTGAGCCCTTGGTATCAGGCTCATTTTTTCCCCTCCCTCTCCCATGAACCCTTGGTAATTTATAAATTATTATTATTTCATGTCTTACACTGACCGATGTCTCCCTTCACCCACCTTTCTGTTGTCTGTCCCCCTGGGAGGGGGTTATATGTAGATAATTGTGATCGGTTCCCCCTTTCTCCCTCCACTTTCCCCTTCCCCTCCTGGTATTGCTACTCTCAATATGGGTCCTGAGGGGTTTATCTGTCCTGGATTCCCTGTTTTTCCAGCTCTTATCTATACCTCTATATATACAGATGCTCTGGTCTAGCCAGATTTGTAAGGTAGAATTGGGGTCATGAGAGTGGGGTGTGGGGGTAAGCATTAAGGAACTAGAGGAAAGTTGAATGTTTCATCCGTGCTATACTATTTGTCTGACTCGTCTCTTCCTTGTGACCTTTCTGAAAGGGGATGTCCAATTGTCTACAGATGGGCTTTGGGTCTCCACTCCACACTCCCCCCTCATTCACAATAATAAGATTTTTTGTTCTGGGTCTTTGATGCCTGATACCTGATCCCACTGACACCTCATTATCACACAGGCTGGTGTGGTTCTTCCATGTGGGCTTTGTTGCTTCTCAGCTAGATGGCCACTTGTTTATCTTCAAGCCTTTAAGACCCCAGACGCTATATCTTTTGATAACTGGGCACCATCAGTTTTCTTCACCACATTTGCTTATGCACACATTTTGTCTTCAGTGATTGTATTGGGATGGTGAGCATCATGGAATGCCAGGTTATTAGAAAACAAAGTGTTTTTGCATTGAGGGATTGAGGGTGTACTTGAGTAGAGGCCAATGTCTGTCTGCTATCTTTTTTTTTTTTTCCCATCTGCTTTCCTAATAATAAACCTATAAATATGTGTACATAGATCTATTTCCCTATTGTTATATGTAAATACATTTATATATGTACATGCCTATATTTAGACCTCTATAAGTGTGCCCTGTGCCTCCTACTTCTTTTCTTTCCTTCTTTCCTCTTGTCCCACTATCATGTTTGGCCTTCATTCAGGTTTTACTAATTTCTCTTGGTTACACTGCCCTCGATCAAGCCCCACCAGACATCCTATACTCTCCTCGCCACCGCTTTTAGATCACTTGTTGTTCCCTTGTCCCATGGTTTGTTAACACCCACTTTCTTTCCCTCACTTCCCCTTCTCCTGTGTCCCCGCCCCAGAAACATTTACTTTAGGTTTGAGCCCTTGATGTCACATTTTTCCCCCCTCCTCCCTTACTACCCCCATCCAACCCCTTGATAATTATAAATTATTATTTTCATATCTTAAACAAACAGCTGGCTCCCTTTTGCCACAGTTCCTGTTGTTTGTCCCCCGGGTGTGTGTGAGTGAGTGTCTGTGTTATGTGTTAATCATTGCGATTGGTTCATCCTTCCTCCCCACATTCTCCCTAACCTCCAGGTATCACTACTCCCATTCCTGTTCCTGGATTCCATGTATTGTGAGCTGTTATGTCTTATCTGTTCTTGTGAACATGTTCTGGTCTAGCCCGAAGTGAAAGGCAGGACTAAGGTCATGACAGTAGGGGTACTACATACATTCTTAACAGTATAGGCAATACTCAGATTACAAATGAGTTTCAGTCCTGGGACTGTGTTGAGTTGAATTTATACAAATGTTGGAATAATTTGGTATTTCTATTGAAAGAACCTTAGTTACAGTCTTTCTTTAAAAAATAAACCTCTCATCTTTTGTAAGGGAGACAATCCTTACAAAAGCTGTGGAAAATTTCTGAAGGAACCATCTGCTTAACATAGACTTAATCATGTTCCTTCTTTTAAACCTTTTTTATTCTCACTCCCAGAAGTACCAAATATAGCTACTTCTGGGGCTTTCTGGGGTTCCATCATGTAAACTCAGCTGTTTCAGGACTTGAAAAGGCTAACATAAGATGTCTGAATTTATGGTAACACAAAAATAGCTGGGTTCAATTGGACATCCCCTTACAGAAAAGTCACAAGGAAGAGATGAGTCTATCAGGGTGCAGTATAGCACCGATGAAACATCAAGTTTCCTCTAGTTCTTTAATGCTTCTCCCTGCCCCCTCCCCCGAACTCCCACTATCATCACCCCAATTCTACCTTACAAATTCAGCTAGACCAAAACATGTACACTGGCACAGAGCTGGAAACATAGGGAATCCAGGACAGATAAACCTCTCAGGACCAATAATGAGAATAGTGACACCAGGAGGTTAAGGTGAAAGTGGAGGGGAAGAAGAGGGAAGAGACCACAATGATCTACGTATAAAAGAAAAGTGGGTGAAGGGAGACAGCGGTCAGTTTAAGACATGAAAAAAAAAAAATCAATGGTTCGTAAGGGGGTAGGTAGGGTGGGTGAGGTGGGAAATGAGCTGATACCAAGGGCTCAAGCAGAAAGAAAATGTTTTAAAAATGATGGTGTACAAATGTGCTTGACACAGTGGATGTATGGATGGATTGTGAGATGGATTGTATGAACCCCTAATAAAATGATTTTTTTAAAAGTCAAAATTTTTTTAGATACATTTTATAAAGTATCCCAATTCTTTAGAAGAACAGCTATATAATTTCAATGTATTATATTAATTATGTCACCTTTTCTTAGGAAATTTTTTTTTTTTTCCCTTAGGAAATATTTATACTTATAAACAATACAATTTACTAACCTCTGCTTCTGTTGCTTGGGATTGCAAAAGCTGTCGTATACGAAGTATATCCTTCTCTATTTGTTGAATTCTGGCTACTCTTCGCTAAAATAAAATATATACATAAATTAGATATCGTTTCATTGAGAACACTAATGTAAATAATCTACTATGGCGACAATTTAACAGCTTACAGTTATGTCAAATCATTATTATGTAGGCAAGTATGTATGTGTATTCATACACTGGACAAATCAGGGTCAGTTCAATTCTAAAATATAAAAATATCTCATTTTATGCAGATACCTTGATCTGTACTGAAAAATTTAACAAATACAAGTTATATATTGAATTGTAGGATGCATTAATAAGTCATTAGTATTTTTCAAATGCCCATTACAGCTAAACACTTTTGCCCTCTAACACTAGGATCACTTTTGTGCTTTTGTACTACTGGAAGCACGTAAGTAATCACACAGCAGTAATTTACAAATTAAATAATGTAAAATTGAAACACTGTAGCAAAAGGCTTTTTAAAATAAGAGCTAAAGTTTCTTTAAATTATATAAATACAGAAATGTGAAAAACAAATCATATTGTGTATACAAACTTTATTATATTTAAATACTAGTTTTAATAAAGTTCAAATATAAATCCTTTTAAAATACAAGTACTGGGGATTGAGTTTTTAAGTCAACAAACCTATAGTATTGTAGTCTTATGTGAGCTTATTAATCTGCCTATTAATCTATCTAAAGAGTTTCCTCAACTGCTAAATGTCTGTGTGAAAATTAGAAATAACCCTGCCTTAGTACACAGTAGACTAATTGTGTATGTGTGTGTGTTACTAAAGAATAACATGTTAAACTGTGAGTAAAATTTACAAAAGTGGAAAATAAATAAAATACAATTACTGCTATTTTTTTCCAATAATTCTATGTAGTTGGTATCCTAGTATCGTGATATCAAAACTACACTATAGTCTCTATACTATAGTATAGAGGAAAGAAGAAAGATGGCAACCAAGTAGCACACATGGCAGGAACTCTATAGAGACAAGCACATAGGGGCCATGGAGAGGGATATCCCACACTTCTAGAGAATGAAATTCTCAATATACACATAAGTAAACACAAATTTATTAAAACAAAAGTGCAGCAACATCTGCTAATAAGATTTCCTTTTGTCATTTCCCCCCAGCACAAGCCAGTAGAGTGCAGATTCCCAACTCTCCTGATCAATTTTTCCTGGTCCAGGAGCTGCCTAGGGTGGCTGATAAAGTTGCAGGGACATAGCTCTGTGACACCAGCCTGGCAGAATATAAGCACAGATAGGCTTTGGCTCTTAGCCCAAGCCAAGGGAGTTTGGTTCTGATCCCCTCACAGCCTTATCTTAACACAGCCTACCAAGCCTCGTGAGGATAACTCTACAGGCCAGCGTGGAGCAGGCGTAAATAGTGACTAAGTTAACTCTCCATACAGAGGGAGCTCCAGCCCCACTCGGGAAAATTAATACCCCACTCCTGAGGTTCAGCTCTGCACAACCCTGTCTTAAGGCACCCCAAAATCACAGCCCTTTGTAGGCTCCCCTACCCCCTTATTAGCAGACAACACACACATGACCTACTAGCAAGGTATACTGCACCAGCAGTTTTACGAAACAGAAGCGGGGAGTTTGTATGTGAGAAAAACACCATAAGCCCCAGGGTCTAAAGGCCACTCCAGCTGAGGTACTGGATAGGCTGAGCAATCTGCCAGTTGTCCCACGACACCAGCCCCTGATCAGTACTTCAAGCCACTTGGATAAGCAAACTGCTGAGTAAGCTATTGCTTCATTACTCCTAGACCACCTAGGTAGGTGGCAGTTTTAGACCCCACTCCTCCGCACACACTCGGTCACTTCTATCATCTGAAAGGAGCAAACCTCATCTCCTCTAACCTGATCCTCCACAGGTCCATTACCTAACTCACGAGAATGCAGAACTCTCAGCCTTACAAGACACCAAAATCATCCCAACCTTAATCTCAACCATATTCTAACACCCTAAGGACCATAAGGTAGTGAAACAACATACTACCAGACACTGTCGTCAACTGCTCAAAAGATGTCTGCTCCACACAGTCCTGATTTACCCCCAGAACAAGGTACCCCAACTATTCTTTTGTTGGTACTGTTATTTCTGTGTGTTCTATCATTCCTATACCCTCTACCTCTTTAAAACAAAGTCATGCACTATTCTTACAATTCATCCTTAGTTAGGACTTCCCTATCCTTTGGTCTAAGGAAGGGGGGAAAATTATTATTTTACTATTAGTTTACTGAGTTTGTTTTCTAGTTCCTCAACACATCATCAATTGACGTCAGAGACAAAGCTCCTGGGCAAAGCTTAGAGACTTAACAAACATACATTAACAGCTCTTCCACTTCTTACCCTGGTATTATTTTTTTCCACTTTTATTTTTAATACTTTTGTCTCTTGACCTTTCCTCCTTTAATTTTATTATCTAAACTTTTACTTCATAGCCCTTTTTGTCTACCTTTTTCTTTCTTTGCCTCTCATCAACCCTTCTCTTTCCTCATAAAACCAGAGCAATTATTTTTTCCCTGAAATATTATTATCCACTCCTTTGTCATTTCAAATGAAGGCATTTTTTTTTCTTTCTGGTCTACGTTCCTTTCTTTAACCTACCAATTAACATCACATGATCCTTCCCTTCTTAATTTCCTTTTTCCTTTGTTTCTCCCGTGGCTAACACTTCCGCTTACATTCTTTGATCTCCCCCTCTAACATTTAATCTAAAATTCTCCCCCAAAATACTTACTAAAAAGCCTCTACGACCCATCACTGCACCACCTAACAGAGTTAACCACTCCCATATAACCCACCTTTCTAATACTCCTACATAGCTATACCAAGATGCCCAGGAACCAACAGAAGATATTGGTGTACACACCACACACACACACACACCACAGATAAAAATAGCCAAACACCAAGCAGGCCTAAATGAAATTCCTGAAGTTTAACAGGCCATGGAATTATCAGAAAAAGAGCTTAAAAGGATGCCTGAACTCATACACAGATGAACAAAGAGCTGAGAAGTGGGGGGAAAATTGAGAAGCTAGAAATCTCACTACGTGCCTTACAAGAAAATTCCAAACAGAAATGCAATAGTCAAACACTACAATGGGAAAATTACATAATACTATAGAACAGAGAAACAGAATTGAATAAATGGAAACTGAAATTAATGAGGTTGAAGACTTCAATCTAAAAGAACAATGAACAAAAATGCAAAAGAGAGAACAACCTATGTCTTATAAGGATTCTGGAAGAGAAAGAAACAAAAAACCCACACAGAGAATAGTCAAAGAACTCCTGCAAGAAAACTTTTCTCAATGCCTAAATGATGAAAAGAGAATTATCCAGGAAGCTGAAGACACCCCAAATCAGGAGGATTACAAAAGGAAAACTCCCTGGCTTATCGTAATCAAGATGCCTAACATCAAGGGCAAGGAAAAACTTCTAAGAGCAGCCAGAGAAAAAAGAACAATTACTATATATACTCGAATATAAGCTGACCCGAGTATCAGAGTATCAGCCGAGGCACCCAATTTTACCACAAAAAGTGCATTAAAAAGGTGCTGAAAAACTCGGCTTATACTCAAGTATATACGGTATATACAAAGGGCCAGCCATTAGAATAACTAAACAGAAATCATGTAGGGAAGAAGGCAATAGAGTGACTTCTAGAGTCTTTAAGGAAAAAAACAAAACACAACCTGTCAAACTAGAATCTTGTACCCAGCAAAAATATCACTTAAATATGATGGAGAAATAGAAGTATTCCAAGACCAAAAAAAAAATCAAAGAAATTCACAAAAAATACTCAAAAAACCACCAACACAAAAATCCAAAACCAAAATACAACATAATTCCTCACAAAAATCAACACACAGAGGAACATCCTAAGCAATGAACATAGGAAGAACAAAGAAACTAAACACAACACACATAAACACGCAATATACATGCACAAATAAAATGCACAGTGATAGGAACAAATGCATATAAAAATGTCACTAAATGTTAATGAACTAAATGCACAGTAAAGAGCTAGAAAGTAACAGAACAGATAAGAAAACAAAATCCATCAATATGCTGCCTACAAGAAACACACCTCCGTAACAGACATGAACAGACTAATAATCAGATACCGGATATGAGTATACCAAGCAAACAGCAATCAAAAGAAGGTAGGAACAGCAATATTAATATCTAAGAAAATAGACTTCAAGGCAATCTAAAAAGAAACAAGACCAGACAATACATAATGATCAAGGGAACAATACCACAAGAGATAACTATAATAAACATATACAAACCCAATGAATGACCCTCGAAATACATCAAATTCTCACAGAATTTAAAAAGGACACACACACCTCAACAATAACAATAGACTTCAATATGCCACTTTCAAGGAAAGAGAGAACACCAAGAAAGAAATTCAATAAAGACATAAAAGAGCTCAATAACACAGTCAACAAAATTGACCTGATAGATAAATTTTTTTTCTATA